CAAAGAAAATGTAGCAGAGAATTGAGGTCCTCAGAGGAAAGGCATTACAGAAATGCAAAGTATTATCAGCAATGTGCATTATACATGGACCAATGTTTCTCAGTCCCTAATGCATCAGTCAGTGGACTTTAGTTTTCTGGCTTGTGTTTGGTGTTTAAAACACACACACACACACACACACACACACACACACACACACGCACACACACCCGAGTGCGGACACGCACGCACAACTTGCAAATCAAGTGAGTTAACGCTCTGCCAACTTCCTCTAGATATTGACCCTAGGGGGTCAGCCTCTTAAGAAAATGATGCCTGGTTTTCCATCCTCCTAATTGCAGTCCCCCACCAACAAGCAAGTCCTATCTCTAAGTGGAAGCTCACAAAGAATTTCTCGAGAGAATATGGAGCTGCGCTGGCAACAAAATCGTCTCTGCAAAATGAGAAGAAAGAGTTGTTAACTGATGAGTCAATCCAGCTTTTATAGCAGTTTATCTTCGTGGTATTTCCAAGAGCATAAATGTTATAAAAAAAGAGAGACGGTCATGACAGGAAGAACACAGTAGAAAAAAAACAGGGACGTTTAAGCCAAAAGCAATTTACTTTGCCAGTAACTGGTTACATTTCCTTTGTTTTATTATTATTATTTCAAGGGTTGGGGTTGAGCTGAAAGTTTCCCACACCTGTGCTGTCCTGACACATAACTTTGGCAAAACCCATAGACAAGTGAATATATAAACGAATGCCTGGAAACTCTGAACTTTAGATGCTTTAAGAAAACAAACAAACAAAAACCTTGTTTTGCTATATTGTCTTTAAGAAAGCTATATTTTATTGATATTTGAATGAGTTTTAAAAAAGGAGAAGACAAAACACGTGGATGAGATGTGGATGAGATGTCAAAGTGGCCGGTTGCCGACTCTCCTGGGATTAATGCCTATAGAAATAGCAGTGACTTCACAAAGGTGAATACTTGTTAATTTCATGGCCCTGAGTAAGAGGAACAGATGGGCAGTCAGAGAGGAAAGATTTTCTTTTTTTAAAACCACAGAGATCTTTCACTGTTCTTCTGCAGTGGGCAGAATAGTCAGTGGCCCCCTACAAAGGGGTGATGTGTGTGGCACACGAAGTTTTTATTGGAACTGTGCAGCGTTAGTGGAAGTCTGTCACCTACTGCTGAGTCAGGATTGATGGGGACCCTACCCTGCCTCAAGTCTGGAGGATGCTGTTTGCTGCCTGAGATGGGCTTTTAGTTCCCTTGTACTGTGTCGTGGTATTTGACTGTTTTCATTTAGGGAAAGCTCCCTGGTGACTGCCGGCCCAAGTTAATAATATAAATATCTCATTATGAGACAGACTGAGTGTGTGTGTCTGTTAGAAGTTACTTAAAGCAGGGATGTTGGATAAAGTCCAGTTGCCCGCGTTGGATCCTGTTACCAGTAACCAGTTGCATGACCTAAAACAACTAATTCCATGGCTGTCTCAGTTTCCTGGTCTGGAAAATGGGGATAATAATGGCGCCTTCCCGCTGGTTTGCTGTGAATTTTAAATGAGTATTGTATGCAAAGTGCTGACTGGCACAGAGAAAGTGCACAATAAATACCAGCTATTGTTATTATTCATGTGTAATATTGAAAACATTGACTGAATTCTGTGAATAAGCATGGATTATATACACATGCAAAAGTAAGCGAGCATTTATTGCTTCACACTAGTTTGTTCCGTAGCGGATCTAACTAGACCCAGTTATGCTATCAATAAGTGTACTGCTGGCCTCCCGCACTCCTGAACACCACCACACCATAAAGCATTTGTTTTTACTCACTTCCCTTGCAAATGATTTGTTTTCTTGACTCTGTAAGAAAAACAAAAGTAGCCCAGGGACCAGAATTTTTACTCCCCCCGCCCCCAAAAGCCAGCTCCTCGGTCCCAAAGCTTTGCCCAGGGTCTTATGGATCTAAAAGGTTTCAAATTGTGTTATGGGGGCTCCCATCCAGTTCTGCATGCTCTGTTCTCCCTGGGACTTTGAACATCTGCTCATCAGGGCACTGGTTACACTGGGTACAAGATCACAGCTCATCTAAGATGCCAGACACAAAGGCTTAACAGTCATCGGGAACCAAAGGCCTTAGGTTTTCGGTCTCAATTCCCAGAGCAAACTTCCTGGTCATTGGGTTATGTTCCCAGAGCTCAAGTGTAAATAGTAAAGGCGAGCAGAGGTTTACAGGTGCCCAACATGACAGGTATGCACAAGGCCAAGTGTGTGGGTCCGGCTCGAAGACTTGAAGGAGTTACATGTGGGCATCTTTATTTCCATTAGTCACTTATTCATTCAACAGATTTATATTATGTAATGCCGCCTCCTGGGTGTGTGCTGGGCAGGTGAGAGATGAGTCTGACATGGTCCTGCCCTTAAGGACTCTCCAATTTAGGATAATAATAAGCCATAAAACCCAACTAAAGTACAAAGAATACAGTGATACCGTCCATGAGAGAAAGTCGGAAAAAGGAGGGCAGAGGGGAAAGGAGAAGAGATATTTGAGTTTGAGGCTTGAGTGATTGGTGGGATTTGCCCAGCCTACCTGAAATGTCAGCGACTTGCCTCATTAGGAACAAAAGGCTTTTTCTCTTGATCAAATCCCATTGAGAGTTTAAGTTTGTGTGACCAGAATATTAGGTGCTAGCCTGTTCTAAATTTACGATTCTCAGAATCTGTTGGGGAAGGGCACATGTGCTTTTCTGGGTTCTGAAAACAGCTCAAAGAATGGAGAAAATAGACCCGATTTGAGGATGACTTTATTGTCGGTTCCCGGAACCTTTGCCTTTATTTAAAACAGCCTGTTCAGTACAAGTTCTATCTAAAAGGCCTTTGGGATTTGAAAGCTCTTCTGGAAATAAATGCTTTTAGGTTTAAATGTTTTGGAGGTCTTTTTTTGCCAAAATGTTAGGAAGGAGAGACCACAGTTAACAAATCTGAGAACGGAGGCGATATTGTTTTGTTGCTTTTAATGAAATGTCTCAGACCTACCCTAAGTTCTGTTTGTCTCTCGGTCAGCTTTCTGCTAGGCTATTATTTTGATAAGGGACATGAAAGTACATCATTCCCTCGCGGTCATTAAAGTCTTAGCACTTAAGTCGTTGTGGAAACACTTCTGCACGACACCAAAATAGTCCACGCCCTGGCTCCAGGCTGAGGACCGGGGCAGTTCATGGAAGGTGGCATTAGGCTGTGACAGGAGAGCAGGAGGTCAGGATCCACAACACAGGCCCGATGAAATCACCAAGGCAGTGCAGGGAGGGGGAGAGAGCAGAGCCCTCCCTGCCAGTCTGGCAACTCGGCAAAGTCCTCAGAGCTCATCCCACACACTCCGTGCTAGTCACTGCTGTGTGTTTACATGAGTAATGGAGCTGCCGGGGGAGGGGAGTCGTAAGCACAGCGCTGAGCCTGGCAGCTTGCACTTGCGTTCGCGTTGGGAGGGAAGCTGACATCCACACCAAGTCAAGACTTCCAGGGACGTGGCCGGGAAGCAGTCACATGCTGTAGCTTTCATGAGCACAGACATCCTCAGGCAGATGTTTGTCGACTGGAATGGGTAATCGCTACTTTCTCTTTGCTTGATTTTTGTCTGTGAGGGTGTTTACCTGTGATAACTCCAGGCTGGCTTTCGGGGGTGGACTTCTGGACACCCGTCTGGGGTGGGGGGGAGAAGAGAGGGGAACGGGTTTGGGAGGGGGAGCCAGAGCCCCACAGCCACTTTTTAAACTTTTGCCGGGCTAGAAAGGCAGCTCTGCTCTTCTGGGCTTTACCAACAGCACAACTGTTATCCACGGTAGAAAAGCGAGGGCGCGGGAGTCATGTTGAGGAGCAGAGTGTAAAATGTCCTAAAACCACTGGTTAAATGTGTGATGTAAGATTAACAACAATTAAGAGCGTTCCAGTGGTTCAGATTGGCACCGTCGTAATCCTATCTTTAAGCAATAAAAAAGCGCGCGGGTACCTCGAAAGGGCTGGGAAAAACTGCTCAGGGTACAATTCACTAGTTTGGAACCGTTCAAGGGCTGCTTGTTTCACGGTTTGTTTTAATTTTGCTTGACTTGCGTGACTGATGAAGCTAAATATGAAAGCTGATGCCGGACAGTCCGAGCACTAGGTAAACAGCAGCCTTTTTTTCCCCCTGCTTTCTGTATGGATCTTAAAGGGATTCAGGCTCAACATCAAGGATGAAATAGAACTCTGCTTTGCACCTTGTCTGTGGCTTTCAAAAAGTATAATCTTCACAGAATCAGGCTAGCCCCAGTGTGATCTTTGGAAGTTATTTTAAATCACCCTCGATATCTTACTACATTGAGAAGGAAAAAGAGAGCATGCTGATTTAAATGTATCAGCCAGATTTGTTGAGATTTGAAACATGCTGGTCGCAAAATTATTAGTAAATACTTGTAAGAATATTTTTTGGATTGTTAACTATGAATGTTCTTTCTATAGCTCTCTCTCTCTACTCATTTGTATCATATCAACTTATTTGTATCATAATTTAAGAAACTGCTCATGTGTCCACTTTTGAAGAGAGAGGTTTTGAAACGGGACATTACTATGATACCATAGTGGGCTTGCATTTCACCTAGGTTTCTGAAAAACAGATACAAAACAAAACAAAGACTAATCTCCGAGCCTGGCTTCGGGTTGACTTTCAGCTCAACATGTTTATTTTCTAACAGTAGGGAAGTGCCTTTTCCTTACCATTGTCCTTGAGAGCAGAGAGCTTCATTTTATTTACACTGATTAGACATGTTAAAGTGCAGTAGATTCGCTTGGGGAAGCATGTACAGAACTGTAGAGTCTACCAAGATGCGGCCCGTCAGAGAGAGGAGCATAAAATGAGATGCGTACGTTTCTCTGAACAGTTTAGAGGGCACCGCTGTAGTAACACTCATGGTCTTTTGTAAGGAAGCCCACGCGCATGAAAATGTACATCAATTTGTTCTTCATTTGTTTTCAGCGCCAAACCTTAAAGGCAGACCACGCAAAAAGAAGCCATGCCCACAGAGAAGAGATTCGTTCAGTGGTGTTAAAGATTCTAACAACAATTCCGACGGCAAAGCTGTTGCCAAGGTAGGGTCATTTGCTCCCTGGTATCCGTTTGGCTGCATCTTTTTATTTTTCCTCTTTCTCTTTATCTCTCTGCTCTTGTGTCTTGATGGCAGTTTTTAGTGGAGAATCTGACTTTGGTATTCACAGCCCTCTGTGTCTGTTCCCGCCACCTCCTCTCCCCTGTGTGGCTGGGGGAGGGGGGAGTGGAGGCATTTGGATTAGTCAACAGAAAGGCTTCCCACCTCCCAGGCTGGCCGGTTGGGTAAAGGACAGATGATTAAGCGCCCACGTCATTGAAGCTGAGATTTCATAGTAGGTGACACAATGACATAGTTTACTCTGCTTGTGTCAAAAATAGACCAAGCTGAACCATCCTCTTTCTGAACGTGTTCATCTAAATATGTTTCAGAGATTAACAGAGGATGAAATTAGAAATGTCTAGAATTAAGCTTTTTAGTGATTTTTTTCCCAAAGTCACCTCTAATTTACCTTAGATTAAAACTGAAGATATTTACCTACATAGCAAAAGAGTTACACGTACACATGCAGCCATATATACATTTATGTCTTTTTAAAGATCTCCAGTAACGCAGAAGGAAAATACAAATGCTAAACTCTTTTTCCGGGAGCAGGCCCATTTTGCCGAAGAGTTCCGTGGAGTCTGGAAAGTGCACACCTGAGGGACTGAGCACGATGAGGGGTGAAGTGTCACTTCATATTTTTAGACTCACTCTTTTGACTTTTGTGGGGGTGGTTGGTCAGATTTGCACGGTTCTGTTTACTGGGTGTTCATACTTAGGTGTTGATTCTGTGCCAAAGACAGCATTAACCCCTTTAGGACTTGAATTGAAGACCAGATTTCAACTGATATTATGTTTCCAGATTCAAGGACTAAGTGTATGAAAATGGACCATTTTGGCTAGTGGTGAATTTGGAAGATGCTGCTGTAGAAAAATATGAATTCGGCTCTGGGTTTGACAGTCTACTATTTTTCTGCCACATGTGCCAAGCCTCCTCCCAGTGTAATGGAAGCAAATCTGAGACATTCACAGTTTATAAATCTTATTTTTAGCAGGTGATTGTTATATCAGGAAGTTCTGATGACCTTTCTGTTAGGGTTTCTTCATGCTTCCAAGAATGCAAAGGGTTAAAAAGAGATCAGCCAGTAGAAATGTGTATTTTCTGTCTAAAAACAGATCTGTCTTTCCCTAAAGTTATTTTTGTTCTGCTTATTTAACCTTCTGCAAATGAGTGCACGTGGGTACCAAGAATGACACTCTCTAGTAATTTGGACATCTCAGCCCTAGAACTGCCTATCAGCTTCCGTAGTCTTGAAGAATGTCAGCAGGAACAGTTTATTCCCTGTGATGTGGTTTGCAAGATACCATAGAATGAAGCGAGAAGGTTTTAGGATCTTTGCATTGCACAGAGTTTGCACTGCCAGTGTCTCATGTTGGCACCCTGCCTCATACCTCCAAGGTGACATCATGTGTTTACCCCAGTATGTTCTGTACCTGAGCCCAGCAGGATGAAGCTCCTTCCCATGTCATTTGGAGCTACTAAGGAAGTATGCCTCTGGGAATTTTACAAAACTCCTACAAACTGATCTGAAAGAACAGCACCTCCAATATTTCTCACCATGGAAGGCAGCTCAAGACTCACACTAGGATCCACAAAACCGAAGAGAACACAAACCTGCTCTGTATGCGATGTTCACTGACTTCCTAGGAGGGATAGTGGTCAAACCTGGGTTTTCTAAGTGACCCTTTCCACCCCCTCCCACCAGTGCTTCCATTCAGTATCTTTACAAGGAGGTGGGTCACTCTCCCACTGGTGGACTGGTCTAAACACCCAGCTCTCCTCAGACTCTTGGATTACAGTTTTGCCTTGGCTGCTTTCAACCGGCCTGGCAAGATCAGTTCTACTAGAAGAAAGAGATGAATAGGTATGAAGTATGGTGGGCTTGTCTCTTGGCACCAACAGACAGATGTAAAGTCTCTACAGAATGAACAAGCCACGTCTGGGCCCAGAACAACCACTAGAGAGGCATTTATGTCTTCAAGGAGTCTTTCCTCATGAAACACTGGAATGGAAACCACAGCCTGTGACCGTCTGATCACTTGCTGGACTGGAAGCAGTGTTTCAAGTGACAGTTTGGCCTTGTGACCAAGACCTATGTGACTGAGTTTTACAAAAGTGTCTCAAGCAGACCATTTCTAACTATGGATAAATCCCAGCTTCGTGCAGCTACACCCCACTAAGCTCTCTAGAGGGAGAACCTCCTGGATCTGTTGTGTGCATGGCTGGAAGAACAATGGCAGCCATTTGCCTGTCGCCATCAAAAATTTGCACTCTCTCAATGAGAACATAAAAACCAGCTTTGCAAGACTGTTTTCTAAGGGACGGAGAATTTCATGGCTTTCCAAAGACAGCAAAAGACACACGGGAAGAGGCTACCGGTTCTCTGAGGATGTCTTGAAAGTGTCTCCAACCAAATCCTGCTGTTTCCCTAGGATCATATTATGGCAGCAGAGGGGGGCCCAAGCCCGTTCATACGGTGATCTGTGCAAGAAAATCCCTCAGTCCAGGCCTCTAGTGGAAGGCCTCCACCAATAAGAGGCAAATAACTCTTCACATTCTGTAAGCCCCTTCGAAAGGCCAGAAGTATATAACAGGTGGTTAGATTCTAAAAGGAACAAAAGAAGGGAAGCCATGGTGTGCCATATGTTCTTACATTTAAATCAGGAACATCCTCTTGATAGTTCACAAAGGTGATACTTTCATTATCTTCAATATTTTTCATCCAGTTTGGTCCTCAAACCCCCAGGGACCCCCAGGGGTTATCCTTCCTGCGTTACTGAGGAAGAACATGAGGGTCTCCTACCAAGTCAGTGACAAATCCAAATGAGACTGTGGCTCTTCTTTCTTGCTGGTTCATCACATCTTGCTGCCCCAGTTGAAGGCTGGATCAGTTATAACTCAGGCCAGTGAAAGGATGTGGTTAATATCAAATAGGTGGTGGTTCATTGAAAACATTAAATGTGGATTCTTTAATTAGCACTTCCTCAATCACTTTAGAAACCCCAAAGCTCTTAGTGAACTCAACAAGTATCAGGTGTTCAGGTTGGAAAAACAGATCGAGTAATTAACTGTCACCATCAAAAGATTGGGCATTCTCAAGGTCAACATGAAGACTAGCTCCTATTGGAACTGCAGTAGATTAAAATGTTAAGTTAAAATGAGAATATTTGGGGTAAATGTGAGAAAAATGTGGAAAGTAACTTGGCCAGGTCCTACCCAGAAATGGGATAATAGCCTAAGGGGCTCTTATGTTAACTCAAGAAATGTATGGAGCGAGTCTGAGAAAGGAAACCACTGTTCACTTCTTACAAAGCCTATGTGTGCCCCTCCTCCCACCCCTGCAAGGAGACACCTGCTGGGATGCCCACTGAGGTTCAGGATGGAGTTCAGGAGGTGGCAGCCTGGCTTTCCCAGGAGACTTTTCTACAAAGCAGGGAGTCTGAATGACTCTGGGCCTGGGTTGTGCACCTCCGCCATGCTTTCCTTCTGTTTCTGGGTGTTTCTGCACAGTTGAGGCACAAGGCTAGGCGGCCATCTAGACACAGAAGGAAACCTCATACTCCCTTAATAGTGGTGCTTCTGATCTAATAATATATATATATATATATATATATATATGTATATATATATATGGCCCATTATTGCTTCACATTTAAGACTCAGCCTGTTTTATATGCAAATCTTGTATCTACTCCTGTTTGGGCAAAACTGGGATTTGGAGTGAAGCAGACCTGAGTCCATACCCAGAGTTCTGCCCCCCATGCGCCAAGTAACAAAATACATAACCTCACTGAGCTTCATTTTCCTCAACTGTAAAATGGAGCTAATCTATGATTGTTATTTCTGATTGTTACGAACGAACGTTCAGGGGACTGTGTGAGACCACAGCACCGTATCCAGCTCACTGCCAGGGCTCAGTGGATACTGGTTTCCTTCCCTTTGCTCGATATACAATAGAAGGAACGGAGCCCTTTGGTTTCATACTTTGGAAACCATCTAGTTTCATCTTTTGTTCCTCATTTGATAGATCATATTTCTAAGCTGTATGTTTTGTAACACCCACTAATAAGATATGCTTTTAATTGCAAGTGCGTTTTGACTATCGATTTAATTTTTTTTTCTGAGTGTCAGTAAATCATAGTGTTTGATACCACAGGCCCTAGAGCTCAATCCCAAACTCACCACTTACTAACTTGGACATGATCTTGTACCTGTTACTCATCACCTCGGTACCTCAGTCCCCGCATCTCTAACAGGAGAATAACAACGTGCCTCATTAGAATTATGGGCATAAAATGAGATAATACCTAAAAAGGGCTTAGAATGGAGCCTGGCTACATAGTACACACTCGCAAAAGGCCCAGGGCAATCCAGATAAAAACTGGAATGATTTTATGATTTCAAAAAGCCATTAAATTATAGATTTCATCAGAACTGTAGACTGCATCGAAAATTTGGCAGTGAAAACTGATGACAACATAAATTTTCACAGGATGCTCGCCATAATATAATGTGGCAAAGTACTAAGGTTTGAAAATACAGTCGGTAAAAATTCTACGTGGAAAACTATTTTAATCCCATTTCCACCAGCCCCTTAAAATTTATAATCTTATCTAGGGGCCCAGTCGAATGAGTTGTACAGGAAGTTTTATTTTTTCCAGAACCAGTCTGAAGATATTAACCTCGCATATTCCCTTAAGAGAACAACGTGAAGAAAACCCCTGTGCACAGGAGGACGCCATCCCCTTTTATAGATGAGCATAGGCTTTTATATTCTTAATGCCTGGGAAGGAGACTCTGAAGGGGAAGAAAAAGAAGGCTCAAAAATCTGAAATGGAAAACAATGTCAAATATGTGGGACATTTTTGTTCATAACAATTCCCCAGCCCTCTTCTCTCCGATGTGAGATCTGGAGATGTGAAGAATATCGAACTGTACACATTCCCCATGGGCACATTTGAACTCAAAGTCTGACCCTTTGTACTTCCCCTTTTTACAATTAAAATAGCTCAGCAACTTAGCGTTATATTTAACACCCATCAGAGGCCTCTTGTAGAACATGGCGGTGGGGAGGGGACCTTAGGTTAGCCACTCAGGTTGCCGAGTTCCATATTTGCCCTAGAGTGTGGAAGCAAGAACATCTGGCACATTTACTGCCATTTATTTTCTAATCATGGCTCTTTCCACTTAACTCTTCTTTGGTTTTTAGCTGACCTCTACTCTTGCCTTTGCCAAGTTAGCATCTTCAGCATTCTCAGAGCTGACTGAAAAACAAGAAGCCCTCATTAAAGAGTGGGACCTTTTGTTACCTACTGAGGGTGCATCTGGGCATCACCCTCAGGTGACAGACAGTAGAGACTTTGCTGGTGTTCCTGATGCCCACATCCGCTGGTGGTGAAGTGTTTTTTCAGGTTGCTGGAAACATTAGCAACAAGATAAGTTTACTATGAAGAAGTAATACACTTCACGTTGATACAAAGTGCAAAATACGGGACTATATATTAAAAAGACACGTTTTGTTCAATGACATTAACAGCTGATGCCCCTTGAGAAAATAAAGTGTATAAGGAGGCAAAAGAATGGTCCAGCCAGATGCAAACACTGTTTCTGGAATCGTATCAACATACTTGTAAGGACTCTAACAGAGGTTGGCACAGTTGGGCAGACCATGGCCCCCTTACCACATGTTTCTATAAATAAAGTTTTATTGGAACATAGCCATACCCATTAGTTTATATGTCCGTGACTGCTTTCGTGCTAGAGTTGAGTACTTCCAACAGAGACTCTCTGGCCCAAAAGCCTGCACTATTTACTACCTGGCCCTTTACAGAAATTTACTACCCCGTGGTGTGAGACCATTCATATGCAGTGTTGCCTTTAAAAAGCTACTTCAGGACAAGGATAATTTACTGGTTCACCCTTCCCACACAGTGCAAGCTGTCACTGGCTGTGTCTTTGTAAGCATCCTGAGGCTGTACTTGATTTGATGTGGCATATTTTCCCCCCCTTTTCCAGGTGAAATGTGAGGCCAGGTCAGCCTTGTCCAAGCCGAAGAATAACCCTAATAACTGTAAAAAAGTCTCAAATGAAGAAAAACCAAAGGTTGCCATTGGTGAAGAGTGCAGGGCAGATGAACAGGCTTTCCTGGTGGCACTTTATAAATACATGAAAGAAAGGAAGACTCCAATAGAGCGAATACCCTATTTAGGTTTTAAACAGAGTAAGTATGCTTGTTTTCATCTCTGAAATATCAACGCTACTCGTATGCTTTAAACTGGAAAACAGTTTTGACTCAGGATTATGTCGAAATCCTAATCTGGGGATGATGCTCTCTGTGTTTATACTAAATCTACAAATCATCCAGGCCAGGAATGTTTCTCCTTGCCTCTTTCCGCTACATTGTTCCCTTCTGGGGCAGTTGCAGTGAGATATTTATAGGCTTGGATCCACTGATTATGACTGGAAATAGACATGTTGAAAGTTTCTCATTTTCTGTTTTGTCAATCTTGAGTGTCTGTCACGCCTTTCTTCTGAGATAATAATATGACGTCGCTTTATCGGGCACAGATGTTGCCTGTGAAAAGACGGCTTTTAAGAGGAGGACATTTAAAGGTGGACAAAACAATCAGAAAGAGAAAACATATTTCCTAAGCCCCAAATTTGTTAAGAGATAACAAAAACCTGACTTCAGAGGAAACATGAAAGACACAGATTTGAACCGAAAGCCCGATTTTGAACTACTTTGACATGCACATTTTAAGCATCGTAATAAATTTTTAACTAGAAAAGGAAACTCATAGCTGAGCAGAATTCCATAGAAAAAGAGAAGGAACCCAGATCCGGTCCTGATTTCACAACTGAATATATATTTTGCCTCTGTCTGGATTTTGTGGCACACAAAGCAATGAGCCCCTGGCTTGAAATCGTATTTTCTCCAAACGTATCTTCCTAGATTAAAACCATGTGTCATTTTGATGAAGAATGTCAAACCTGTATGTTTTACATAACAATTTACATACCTAATAGCAGTTGGCACTGATTGCAAGAGAGCACTCGCAGCCATTATAAACTTATATAACTACGAATGATTACAATGTTTGTCTGAAAACTGGTTGCTTGAAATAGAAGTAAAATTAATGTACTATGAACAGCTTTGTTGCATTATGCATTGGTTCAGATCAAATCAAGGCCGAGGCAGGGCTCTCGATAGCTTTGAAATAGTGCAAGGTTCAGTGAGGCTTTTCCAACGTGTTGTGTCAAAGAGCCTTTTCTTTTTTTAATTTTAATTTTATTCTCCATCTCCCTTACCAAGGAATTACTTGAAATTCAATTTTCCCCTCTTGTAAAAGAGTCAAATCCATAGCAGTCCCATTCCATGGTGTCTGGGACAAACAAACAGGATTGCCAGCAGTTGGGCACAGTCGTTTAACAGCGTAAACGTATGCAAACCTGCAAAGAGAAATCTGTTTTAAAAAAGTATGTATTTGTAACATCACACAGACAAGTTAGGGGACTAGAACTAAGGACTCCATTCTTCTGTGGATGAGGATCTTCCTTCCCTTGGATGTGTTCTATCCCTGCTACTTCTAGGGTGCAATACTTGTTTTCCTACTCGCTACAAGGCACCACGCGTTAGTGAAATACTGTATGAGTTCTTAATGGAGTGCTGCCTTCAGACATTCTATTGAAAACATAATCATGTATGAAAGTGGCTGTTATTTCTTCATTATGCAAAGGTCTTATCTGAAGGAAGCATTATATATTACCGTTTAATCAATGGCTTCTTTCTAAGGGTTGAATAAGACCAACCCTAATTTTGAAATGCCACACTTTTCCCAAGGACACCATAACCTAGCTTCCCTTGGTCGGCTGATGGCCACAGGACTAAAACTGTGTTGTCCTTTATCCTCAAAGTAGAACCATTTCTGTATTTGCAACTGTTTCTTAAGAAATATTTTAAGTGGAAATAATATATCCTGGTGTTGAATGCCCTTTGGCAAATTGTTGCCTAAGAACTTAGCTCTCTGGGGTACTCGTATTTTTTTTTTCTCTTTCTCATTGAAATCAGAACAAAACAAAATGTTTTAATTGACATTTCTTGGAAATATGTTAATGCAATGCTTATCTAAATACTTATTGTCCCTCTAACAGTTAACCTTTGGACTATGTTTCAAGCTGCTCAAAAACTGGGAGGATATGAAACAGTAAGTGTTTAAGCAACTTAAATGAAATAATTTTGCAACCTAACTCCCCTCACCCCCCTTTGACCAAAATGGAGAAAATGCAAGAGTAAACCGTCGTTGACTGCCTTTTCAAATGGCTCCACACTTTTGGGGGTTTATTGGGCCGCTTTTGGAAACGATCCCAATTAGTTCCAGGTTTGGCAAAATTGTAAACGTGTCGTAAAAACTACAAGTGGAAAACATATGTAACTCTCCCCCTGTCAGGGAAATTAGTTGGGTCTGTAATTTTTTCCCATGTTGAGAAAGGGCTATTATTGTACAACAAGCCAAGATTGCATAAAAGAAATTTCCCTTGGCAACATACCTGACATCTGTTCATGTCTAATATGGGAAATGTATTAAAGGCTTTCAAAAGTAATCAGTATTGGCCATTAAGGAATAGAAGACAGCAGAATCTCCTCTTATTCTAGGGCAAAGAAGCTTTATTAGACAAGGGTCAGTGCCGCATAAACAGGAAGTTATCAAACTTATTCAGAACAGGCTCTGACACTCTTTATCAGCTAATTCTAACTGACAGGAACGGGTTATTTTTAGCCCACAGGAAAATTTGATGGCCACGGATTTTACAGCCTGTATTTTGAACCAATAAAATGTGAGAGCAACAAACTAAGATTAAAATCTTGAAAGAAGAAAGAGCTGTATTAATAGAGCACACAGAGATGATATCTGTAATAAAATCAATTGACATAGGAAGATGTCGTCATTGGAAATATTTTCTCCTCCACACAATGATCAGATTAAGTTGTGCAGTTTCTTCTGCAATCGAATAAGAAATTATTTTTTTTCTCTCCTCACGAGGTAACCTGGGATATCTCTGTATCTTAGTAAAATGACAATAAGAGACACAAAGTCAAGAAAATGAAATTCATTTTAGCCCCACCATAATAACTAGTGTGTCTTGCCAGATAGAGCATATTACTCCACAAACTAATATAATGGTTTGATGTCATGGGGTTGGAACGGGAAAAGATGGCAGGCATGATGTGATTCGGATAATCTGGTATTTACTGTAGAAATCCCTGCTGTGAATTCTGACTAAAAACTCTTAAGATGTGAGTCAGTGTGTGTGTAAAAATATTCATTTAATACATGGGAGGTACTAGTACCAGTTTATAAAGAAATAAAGTTTATAAAGAAAGAAAATGCTCATATGAAGCACATATAAAATGTGCATTTCATAGACATGAATTTCCTTACAATATTTGTTTTATCAAGCACCCACTGTACAAAATAAATAATGAAATTTTTCACTTGGTTGGGTCTGTTGATAGGACAAAGAGGTTGACTCCTTGCCACTGTGGCTCACAGTTTTGCAAAATCTTAAGCTAATTATAGCTTTTGTCCATGTGAAAAAAAAAATAACTTAGTCTCATGAATTCAGCAGTCAGCCCCATAACTTAGATTTTTAAGCCTAACTCTTGATGTTAAGAATAGGAATACACATTTTTATGAACTGTAGATAAGTTACATGATACTGCACAATATTATGAAATGTCTTTTTAAACCCAGAAATTTGTTGTTGCCTGCTGATAGGGAGAGTGCCAACAAATTTCACAGAATCAGTTTTTCCTGCTTTTGTATCTTCTGTATCTTCACAAGGATCTATTTTTTGCCATGCAACGGCAAGTTGGTATAGAATACACAAAAGCAACTTCTGATTAGTTTCAGGGCATTTGCAGTATATCGAACACACAGTATCTTCTCTTTTGTTGAATGAGGGAAATAATGAATGGCCACACAATCAGCACATCACCAGAACACATACTTATTAAGTCGTACATATTGGAGGCATTGTGCTACACACTCTAGAAGATGCAAAAATATCTACCCCAGTGTTTCTAGTTGCTTACCATCCAGGAGAGGCAGTAATTATAATGAAAAGACAAGTGGAAAAAGGTCCATTCCCTGTTCAAGTAAAGTACTATTTCATTTAGAAATGAGGGAAGGAAGGCTTGTGACTCTCATGTCATTCGAGCAGAATTTTGGAGGATAGATAGAATTCAGACATGAATGATCATGGTCTTGCAGGAAGAGAAAGCCAAAGCGGGGAAGAAAGTGTGGAGGTGGAATAATGTTGGACATGGAGAGTCTGAATAACTTAGAGTGACCAGGTGGCTGGGACAAGTGACCTTGAAGGGGAGTCCAGAGAGGATGCAGCCCAGTGAGAAAAGGCTTTGGGATGGTAGGCCCTGGGATTATTCTGTAGGCTGGGGGCGAGCAGAGGGATGGAAGGCCATGCATAGAAGATTTATAACAAGCTAAGCATTCCCTTTTGCCACGTGCTGTGCCTTCACTCTATGTAGGTGGAGTGCAGGAGAGAAAGGCTGGGGTGGGGGCACATGGGAGACCAGAGCGGCATCTGCTTTTCATGTGGTCACGAGCTTCGAGCCTCTTTTGCCAAGCCACAGAGGGGACTGGCAACTTCTGGAATCGCTCCCTTCCTCCTTCCCTATTTACCCACCAACTCCCTCATTGTTCATTGGGCCCCTGCCATTCTTCACCCCCAGCTCTAACATCACATCTGAGACGGTGAATCTACTTAGCCCTCTTACTCTAAAATCTACATCCAGGGTCATCAACTGGATGAAGCCAGTTTGGTAGGATTTGTCCTTCCTCCCTTCCCTCCTTCCTTCCTTATTTCCTTCCTTTCCTTCTTATTTTTTTAATGCCTTATGCTACCTTGTTGTCCCTGTAGGCACTGAAGTTTGCAACTCCCTTGCTCCATTGAAGCTTTTGAACCTAAGTACAGAATACACTTTTCTGTTGGTAGAATTGGGCCAATAAACAAAATGAGATGTTCAGTGAGGATTCAGTTTTGACATCAGTCCAGCAGACGTATGAGTAAGATCCAGTCTGAGGACTTAAATTGTCATCACTGTGTTACTGAAAGACATTTATCTGTGAGATTATCTGATATCAGATGCAAGTGTAGACTTGTCATTAGAGCTCAAAGGAGATCTTGGAATCTTCTAGATCTGTGGTTCCCAAAGGCTATTCAAGGACTGGGGCTCAAATTTTCAAAGGGAACTTTAAAGCATACGTAGCTGTCTAGACCTCCACACTGAGATATTAACTCTGTGGTGGGCCCTGGGCCTAAGAACCCAAGAATCCTTTTTTATAAGCTGTCCAGGGGATGTTAATTCAAAGCTAATGGTAACAGATTATTCCCAGTTAGCCTAATAGCCCTCATGACTCCCAGCTTCAAAATGTGGCCCCATCTAAGTCAAGTATCAAAGATTAGAAAGTTGTCTTCACACCATTACTAAAGAAGCAAGCCGGAGTATTAACATCCCTTTGGCTCCCAAGCAGCACAAACTTTCCAGTGAAGGTTTTTCCATTTGGTAAAGTGGTAATCTAGCTACATTGGGACTCGATAAGCCATTTTCATTTTGAATGCAGGAAAGCCTAGCGTCAGAACATTTTTATTTTTTGCAAATAGGCCTTTGTGCAGAGAAAGATACTTGCCCTGCTCCAGACCACACCCTCGTTTTATAAATGAGGAAACTGAGGCACAGAGAAGTGAAATGAGTTGCATGGGGTCATTACGGACTTCTTCAAATTCTGACTTGCTGAGAATTTTGTGCACAATTGCCTCAAGCTCCATAGCAACACTGAAAGGAAAGACCATCCTTCATATATAAATGACCAGTGTTTATATCTTCCATCCTCAGCAGTCAATTAGGTATGTGTACAATGCTTTCTCCATATTTCCAGTGATATTTTGGGAAAAGCATCTAATAATATACCTTCACTGGTAGCATCTTACAATGAGTTCTTTGGAACTAACCTGAGCCTAACTGGACACACTATTAGCTGAGATTTTATCTGAGTCTTGAGAAAAATGTGTGAACTTAGGAGATGGGTCAAGAAGTCTGCATGATGTAAACATTCGGTAACAGTAAAAAAACTGCAAGTTTAAAACTTGTGGATGTATCTCTCCTGCTGTTAACTTGTGATTGGATAAAGACATCTCTCTGGAATTCCTTCTGGTTATAAAAAGAGGCCATCTTAATTGGCTTGTTTTTGTTTGTGGTTATAAACTATTCCAAACCTTCTGGTTTGAATTGCGGATTATGGATTATTTCATTTCAGTCCTTCATAACCCCCAAATTGAATTAAAAAAAAAAGAGGAGCAAAGGTTTTATTTTAAGCCTTTATAAGCATTCGACTAATGGCTATATTCAGTTCTCTTGGCCTCCTCTGTCTTTGCTGGAAATGGATTTTGTGTCTGTGCCTCCTTAGGTCGAGATCATAAATGTAATGAATGAATTTGATTCCCTAAAAAACAATATCCTGGCATTTTGATCGGTTGGCAATGAGGATCCTTTCCTTTATAATCATGCATCCTTCCATACATTTTAGAATATGGGTCACCTACAGTTGAGGAGGCAGAACGGAATAGAGCCACACTGATGAGCTAAACTAAAGAGGTCTTCACTTCAGTGTCTGGTGAAGCAATTAAAGCTTGAAGAGTAGCTTGGGGTATTACCAGGATGCGGTGTGTTGAAGGTAGTTTGCTAAAGTGATTTTCATTTGGCTAACCATTTGAAGGTGAACCAGAGGCAATATTTGGAGAGAAGGTAGAGTAGGGAAATGGGTCTTGAGAAAATCTTATTCTAGATGCAAAAGACCATGCAAGGGGTGCCTTCTAAGAATGTCAGCAGCTCCGCCTCTCCCCATGGGTGAGACAGGACCATTATTTCTCATCTGGAAGAAGAAGCCACGTGTCTTCTCGCTGGAAGGATTAGGCTTTGACACCAGATTCCGGCTTTGACATCATTTCAAGACACCCTCTGAATCTAACCCTAGTACTCTGGACGGACAAAGCCTCTTGCTTAATTCAAAATTCTCGAGGCCAAAGATGATGTCATGCAGTTTTGAAAGGCTCCAGTTCCTGGAGTACTACCAGGAAAAAAAAGTCATCTTCCTTGAATTCAGTCCGCCCTCAAGGTGTCCCGAGAAAGAGGCTGTTTCTCAGAGCTGCCTGGGTAACACTGCACACAGGCCAGTGTGCCTTTTGAGTTCACATCTCCTACGTTCTTAAGCTCTGGACACACTCGAGTCCTGCAAGATTTCTGATTGCTGTTTCCTAACCAAGCCACAAAAACTCCAAGATTATTTCATCCCTGCAACCTCAAAGGTTGGAGAAACCAAAGCCCCAAGACTGTGCCTTGGGTGAAAATAGTTTCCCCATTTTTTTTGTTGTTGTTTTGTTTTGTTTTGTTTTTAAGTGACAGGATATTTTCCTATGTCCGTCCAGGAACGTAGAGAAGGGGAAGATTCCCTTCCCACTCTCTGGACCTGTTTTCTTGGCAGAGGTGAGCATTTAGAAAGCTGGTTTCAAGCCACCTCTAACATAGTTTGGCTTCTAAAGAACAGTTTGAAAATGACTATATTTAGAAGCAATGAAACTTAATGCACATAATAGGTATAGAGCTTTTCATAGTTGCTTGGGTCTTCCCCACACTGGGGAAAGAAGTAACTGTCAAGCGTCTTCAAAGTGAGATTAAGTCTCTCCTATACCTACATTGGTTTGTTTTACTTGGGTGTGGTCTGTTCGGTTTTTCATCTTGCTTTATGGTTGATTGTATGGGATTATGCTTCCTGCTAAATCATGAACCCTTGCTAGCAGCAACTTCTCTTTGTTTTCATGGTATCTCCCCACCCTCCACCCTCCACCTTCTACCTTCTACCTCTATGCTTTTCTGTACCTGGCACAGGGCCCTAAAATGACAAGCAGTAGACGATGGGTTGATGTCATGAATCCCTAACATTTAAATGAGGATCTTGAAGGAGATCACAGGAGAAGCACAAGCTAAGAGAAATCATTGCTTGAGAAAATTTGACCATTTTCTTGAGGAAACAAAGAGCCAGAAGTCCTTTGTATCCTTAAAAACCTAAAATAATATGAGGTCAGTTTGAAACGTGTACATAACCAGGAGGCCTCGGCTTAATGAAAGCGTTAGTCAAGCTCACCCCATGGCGGTATCAAACTTCCCAGCTGAGTGGGGCTGGGGACTACTAGGCAGACACTGGTTTTGCCCAAATGGGGTTTTAAAGCTAACACACATTCTGGACAACAGAATAACAACCCTAAGCAAATGCACACTTCGGCATGATGAACACAGACTCTCACAGGAGGCAGGTTTGTACAGGTGGGAGCCCGATGCCCGGTGGCTGGGCCAGGCGGGGCTCTCGTGTCCTTTCCTCTCTCCTTATAGGGCGTTGGGACCCACTGTGGGTTTAGACAATGGGAACGTTTAGACATTTCTTGCTTTAAAGCCCATGGGCAGCATTTGAATTAAAAGCGCATCTGGACACAAAAAATGGAGATGTGTACCCAGGAGCACTGTGCACTTAAAAGCATAAAATCATTTAGCAGTTGGAAAGAGCACATTTTATGACTTTCCTGTGGAAAGAAAATATCTCAAAACGGTCTGATTCATCCAGGCCGGCCTGTGGAAGCTTGGTAAACAGGGACCACTTCCTGGAAGGCCCAGCCCTTGTCTTTGCTCCAGATGAACTTTCACTTGTAAAAACTGTATTTAAACACCAGCACCTGCTACAGCAGGGGCTAACACAGACCCCTGGCCAGCCACACATACTTATAATGCCAAATGGGACCTGATGCTGGCCTCCTGCTGCCGGTTTCAATCCTAGTATGAGGAAGATTGTTTTTTCCTTTTGATAATTCATTATTTATTCTTAAAGAAGTCAGTCATTTCTGTGATAGGCCAGGGTTGAACAGGGTACTACTCCCTAGTCTAGATGATAGGTTGTGGGAGGGAGGCATGGTCAGTTTCCACACATTAAATATCCCATCACCAGTGGTCTCCTGTTCATTACATTTTTCACAACCTGTATTATTTTGCTTATCTATTCCGTCCCTTCTTTATTTTTGTTATCCCTCCCCCCCCCCCCCCCCCGCGCGCCGCCCCCCCCCCCACCCACAGACACTAGGATATGGTCATGTTGGGTGTTGGGTCTGGTTTTCATTGTTTTGTCCCAGCTGCTAGCACAGTACTCAACCAATGGGAGATGTTCAAGAAATGTCTGGTGCCTGGGGGAGTAAGTAGAAGGATTCCAATATAATTGAGAGTTATCTGTGATTCAGTGGTGGACATATAGAACCTCTGTTCTAACTAGAGACACACATGGGCAGGGTCAGAGGAACCATAGTTTTACTTACTGAGAGTAAAATCTCAGAGCACTGTTAACCTAACCCATCCCCTTAGATACCTGCTGACCTCTTTGCTGCACTATCTCCCCCCTAGTAAGAGACCCACAGCTTATAGTTGACAACTTGTAGCAGAAGCTATGATTTCCACAGTCCTCTGCCTCACTTGAAGCAAAAGGTCCCCAGAGTTCTGTATTATCACCCTGCTACACACATGGGCTATTCACCAGGTCAATCTGATGTGGACACCATTTTGATGACATGAAAGGAGTCTGCTCTTGGGATCCTAAGCTATGAGTTCTGGCATTGCCATTCTACTGCTGTGTGTCCTTGGCCAAGTCATGCAACCTCTCTGTGTCTTGCTTCCTTCATCTGTGACGAGATTCCTCTAATCTACCTCACAGGCTGATGGGAGGATGAAGTGATAATCAAGCATGTGAAAACTCTTTATAAAATATGAAGTAGAGGGGAGCCTGAGTGACCCAAGTTAGTTGGGCATCTGACTCTTGATTTGGGCTCATGAGGTCATGATCTCATGGTTTGTGGGACCAAGCCCTATGTTGGTCTCTGTGCTGACAGTGCAGAGTCTGCTTCAGATTTTCTCTCTTCTTCTCTCTGCCCCTCCCCCGCTTGCACTCACGCGCTCTCTCAAAATAAATAAATACATTTTCAAAAAATATATGAAATAAGAGTGCATAGAAGAGATAAAGGACGACAAGAGCGATGGTTTCCTCTGAAGTGATTGCAGGGACTTACATAGGCTGTCTTCTGGCCTTGCCGGGCTCCCCACCCCATCTGAGGTGGGGGTGGGGGGGTGGAATATGGAGGTGTGTTTCTAGGGGCCTCAGTATCTTAAGGGCTTGGAGGAATAACATGGACATATGGGAGGGGAGGTCTCAACAGGTCTCAAACAGACCAGCCTGAGATGGTATTATTAAAAAGATTGGGGGAGATTGTAATTAAATGTAAAATGATTACTAAAACACCTATTCTGAGTGTTTTGAAAGGGGCTTGAAACCATTTATTATAATCTAAAGCAAGCTATAAATAAAGGAAGATTTTATTTTTAGCCATACCTGCTAGTAGATGTAAAGGGTGGTTCTGTCTACAGAGGACTATGGACACAACTTGGTTCAAGCATGCTTCGTGGGCAGCTGAACAATGCAAAGCTCCCATGGTCTCGAGGTCCTACCCAGGCCTGTCGAGCAGGGTTTATGGAAATAAAGGGGTCTTTACTTGAGATGGAAAAGGTGCCATTTACCCTATAATATTTAACCACCCCTCCTCCTTCCATTACAATTACGAGCCCTTGTTTGCGAGCTGAGATTTTTTTTTTTCCCCCTCGGATTGCTGCCTTCAGCCCCTAAGTGAACTCCGCTGGCAGCTTTGTGGTTATTTTCCAAAAGAAGCCTCCTACTCTGATTGTATCCAGTGCCACTGGCACCTGTGCAGCGCCCTGCCCCCTGCACGTTCCAATAACAGCGTTTTCCTGTAACTCTGTTTGGAAACATCCACAAGGACCTCAGAATGCATTCTGTCTCCTGGTTTCAAGGAAATACTAGACTTGCTCGGATGTTAGTAAATGACGTGGTTTCCCCAAATTAATCATTTGCCAGATCATGCATCTGCTATTTTGTAAAGTCTTAATTTATGTACAAAAATAAAATTAAAGAAAAAAAGGAAATAGAGCCATAGCATGCCATCAGTATATTGCAAGCTGTTTGGTTTTATTCACCCAACTCAACAGTAGACTGAGCTTGCGTTTTAGCTTTGGAATTTGCTCGTTTTCGTAGGATTTGATGGATATCCCATTTTCCTGACCTAAGTGAATAAAAACAAACAGCTCGCAACATACACAGTTGGAGATTTGGGTTTTGTTTGGGTGGTGGGAGGAGCTGGCATAACCATTTAGCCTGAGATGACTGCAAATCCCACAACCAATTGGGTCAATTTAATTAATTTACATAGTAATTTTATTTAGTTTTTGAAGTAGTCTACGCATCACACAGTTCAGAAATCATAAGATACAAAAGCACGTTTAGTGAAAACTCTCCCTCTTTTCCTACATCCTTGGGCACCCGTTTCCCTGCTCCTTAAGCAACCGGTGTTAATTCTGGTTCTCTTAAACTGATATTTTCGCTGAAATCTCATTTTATTTGAATGCCTCCTCACACTGACATAAAGGAACAGAGTATGAGTTTGGGACCCCGGGGGGAACTAGCTTCATAAATGTCCAGGGAGATGCCTTAGGGCGACAAAACAGAGCCCAAAGCAGAATTCCGTTTTTATTATAAAGAAAAGTGCTTGGGGCGCCTGGGTGGCGCAGTCGGTTAAGCGGCCGACTTCAGCCAGGTCAGGATCTCGCGGTCCGCGAGTTCGAGCCCCGCGTCGGGCTCTGGCCTGATGGCTCAGAGCCTGGAGCCTGTTTCCGATTCTGTGTCTCCCTCTCTCTCTGCCCCTCCCCCGTTCATGCTCTGTCTCTCTCTGTCCCAAAAATAAATAAACGTTGAAAAAAAAATTTAAAAAAAAAAATTAAAAAAAAAATAAATAAATAAAATAAAGAAAAGTGCTAAAGGAGAGATCTCACTGTAAAACCTGAGTCTCCCCATATACTCGTGTGGACTTCTCTGTTTCTGGGTTTCCAGAACAGGCTGTTCTCTTCTGCCTGTTGCATATGTATTGAATCCTGGAACTGTGAATCTCTTATGATGAAGATTGAATTTCCCATTGCCATTTTTTCAGATAACAGCCCGGCGTCAATGGAAACATATTTATGATGAATTAGGTGGTAATCCTGGCAGCACCAGCGCCGCCACTTGCACCCGCAGACATTATGAAAGGTAAGAAGCCCCTTCTTGGGGGGCGTCTGGGTGGCTCAGTCGGTTGAGCGCCCGACTTCGGCTCAGGTCATGATCTCGCACTTTGAGAGTTCGAGCCCCGCGTCGGGCTCTGCGCTGACAGCTCAGAGCCTGGAGCTGCTTCGGATTCTGTGTTTCCCTCTCTGCCCCTTCCCCGCTCGTGCATGCTCTCTCTCTCTCAAAAATAAACATTAAAAAAATAAAAGTTGAGATATAATTCACATACCATGAATTTTACTCTTAAAAAAAAGCCCTTTCTTAGAAAGCCCTTGCTTAATTAAAAGTGTGTTAATTGGAAGCAGCTTCTGGTGAAGGATAAGGAGAAGTCTAAAGGACTTTTTTGGAAATAGAAAATATCCCCTGGCATTTACCTTGCATACCGCCTTGGGGTTTTTTAAGGGACGTGGCTCTCTCTGGTTACCGGGGCTAAAATTAGATGTTCTTTTAGTTTGGTTTTATCCTGTGACCACCTATTTGACAATGCCTTCCCCCCCACCCCCAACACAAGCCTAGACTACTCAGTATGTTTTCTGTAGGTTCATTTACTGTGAGAACCTTCCACTTCTGGAAATCCTAAGTCTGCAGTGTTACTATGAGGTTGCCATGTAAATGTGTTAACATTGAAATGTATTAACGTTGAATGTGTTAATATTGAAAAGTAAGCATTTCTTTAATAAGAAAATTGGTCCCAGATAAGATCCATTGTTTTTTTCCCATCTTGGTATTTTTCTTCTACAGCTATGCTTTTCACCAAGAAAATCCTTTCTTGCCAAGCCGTGCATGGCTCAGTTTTCTAACACTTTTAGCTTCTCTCAGAAGGTGATGATCATGCAAACAAGAAGTAATGCCAAATTAGCCTACTATGAAGGTTGTATCCACAAGAGTGTTTCCTCTTTGCATTAGGACTGTTGTCCACAGCATTGCAGATCTGTTAGTGAATTCATGCATTATCCTTGTTCTGCGCTTCTAGTCCATACTTAATGTGTTAAAGTCACACCAACTTCTCTATCTCTGGCATTTCCCTGCTGAAATGTTGACTGACTCAGCAAACTGGTTTCAAATTCAGATCCAAGTAGAGGGGTGTGTGTGTGTGTGTGTGTGTGTATGCATATGTTTTAATAACAGTCATGGATGGAATGAAGTCAAGACACAGCTGAACAAACAGGCCAGTTAGCTTGCTAGTTTGAAAGGTAAAACATAACTGCCTAATGTGATGGTTGCCTTTTACATGTGAGTTACCATTCCAATTTCATCCCAGATGCCCAACACCTGGCTTTGGATCATACAAATGCATCCTCAGATAATGTCATCTGGAGCATCAACTCTTAGTCATATTTTTTTTTTAGTTCAATTAAATTTTTATCTGTGTTGCATTCAGCGTAGAGTCTCTTTTAGTATAGCCATTCCATGAAGCCTAGAATGTTTTGGTCGATATAACCTAGTAAACTAGGTTGGGTTTAGTAGCCCATGGAAAAATCCCCATGAAGTATTCCTAAGGGATTGCCTTATGTGCTGTTACAGTCCACAAGGATTTTTTTAAAATGGTAACAGGAATTCAAATTATTACTCTTCCTAGCCTTTTTTTTTTTAGTATCCTACATCAATTTTTTAAATGTGAGTGTTACTTCTCTCAGTATTTACTACAACAGCCTACATTCTCACTGTACATAACAGGTACACCACTGAAACCCTAATACAAAATAGCATAGATATCTCAGGTGAGTGTTGTGTTAAGAGCACTTAAGGTAACATATTCAACTTATTTTTGACTTATGATTCAAGGCTTTAATCAGAACATTTTCATTAGAAACACCATCTGTATTTTCAAAGGGCTTCTATTCTGATAGTGAACCTCCCATACCTCCATGTGCAAATGTTCCCAACACCTGAACCATCAAGCGTAAAGGACCAGACAGCAGTTAAAATTTGCAAAAAGAGTGTATCTCAGCTGTTTCACTCACTTTAAGGATGAATATTAAACGTATTACAAAGCATCACATGATCAAAAAACAGATTGGGTTTGATGGAAAAAAAGATTGGATCTGATAATACAGTGAATGTGTGTGTGTAATTAACTCAAGTACTGGTGTAGATAAAAATAGCCTCAATCTTAAATGAGATACCAAGATCTGTACTTAGTTGCATGACATACCTCATCCGCAGTAGTAAAATCCCAAATGCCTTCAGTCAGTCAAATTGGAAAATTCTAGGAGAGATACTTTACACTTTAGCAACTATACAACATTATTTAACATTCTTAAAAAGTTCTCTTCCCTCCTCATTCTTGGGAGTAAAGGGGATGTTTCATGAAGGTTTGGTGTCCCACTGGATTAAATACTTTTGAGATGCTAGGTCACTCACTCTTCTAAATCGAGAATTTGTTTGGTCAGTGCTTACCAGTCAGGATCTAGTAAGGACAATAAAAACCACACTAGGTATTCAACAAAGAGAACTGACGTAGAGACTTGCTTAAACCACTGTTTTTGTGAAGCTGTATGTTAACACGGAGGTAATAACCACAGGTTCCCTGGGGCCTAGAGGAGAGGCTGTTGCCACCCACAAGTTTAGAGAGTATGCCTCACAGAGTTGGGGTTAAGATCCCTCCTTCCCGGGGAGGCTCCCAACCAGTGCTGGTGGTTGAGCTCAGAGGTGGAGCATCGCGGAGCTAGCTCAGACCTGAGGAGGGAGTGCTCCCTAGCTGGTGCTGGGCCCCAGAGCAAATGGAGGGTGATAGTTCTGGGATTGTCAAAAGAAGCTAGAGGCTGGAACCAACTGCTGCTGCTACATCACTGTTGGGTTGGCCCTGAAATGAGCAGCGAACAAATTAGAAAGAAGGAGGGACTTCCACCCCTCCCCTGGCCTGCTATGGCCCCATTTGCAGAACCCCAAAAGGAAGACAACTGACAAAAGAGACATGTAATGGGCGGGACTCCGGTCCCAGAACACAGAAGAGTAGGTTTGGAGCTGAGACGATCAATAGTCAGCTGCCAAGTGGGACCCCCAACATGGAAAGCTCTGCACAGAGCCAGAAACCTTGTCCCAGGGTGGTTAGCATCCTTCCTTGGATATCCTTTCACTATCTAGGCCCCTTTCACATTGTCGTGATCAGATACAAAGGGTGTCTTGAGTGATTAGTAATTAATAATAGTGAAGCACTAAAATTTGCAGATAACTGACTTTTTCTGGAAAAAAAAAAAAAAAAAAAAGAGGCTCCACTTTCATGATCCTGAAAGGAATCACCCATGCTCCTGTGTGTTGTGGTAGGCAGAAAGGTCTGGGGCAAGTGCTCCAGATGTCTTACATCTTTATTCTCTTTAATGGTTCTACGGGAGAAAGGCAGAGGACACCGAGATTTGTCCAGTGACTAGAAACAGTTCTGCTTGGGTCAGAGAAGAACCTGAAGCTCTCAGCCACAACTGTGCTTAGGGACTTGGCAGATTTCCTTCCTTCTTGCTAATTACAGGCATGCTAACACAGAACAGAGAGGTCTAGATTGGGGAAAGGCCACTGTTTTCAAGAAGGTTCAAGAAGTTGAAAAAGATCAGGGTCTTGTGGGCAAACGTCTAGTCCGGAGATGCCCGTGGAAATCTGTCAAACCTTCCCGGTCAGATCAGAATGACCGAGTTCCCCCTGTGCATTCAGTCACACTCTTTTCACTCTTTTCACTCTTTTCACTCCGGTATAGAGACTCAGTCTTTTTCCTATTTCCTTACCACCAGCTTTGCTTTCCTAGAAGATGAAGAAATGAGTGATCTAGTAGGCATTATCCACTGATTTATTTTTCGTGTGGTGTGGTTCATGTTTCCAGTAAATGTTTTCATTTTCCAACAAGAAAAAAGTAGCCCGTTCCTCAGTGAATATTACTTGTATGTTACTCGGCACTCTTGGTTTATTAATGAGTGTAATAATGAAAGTGTGGGTTGTTGAAAAGAATCAATGAGTGTTTTTATTTAAGGCACAGCAGAAATGGTACAATGCCTGTGAATGCATCATTGTTGCTGAAGGCCAGACTCGTCCAAACTTGCCTCTGATTGGTTTAAATCAAATAGGTCCAAGCACTTCATAAAAATGTCTTTGTCAGCCTGGTTTTACTTCCAAACCTATTCATCTCTGTCAGTTTTTAATATTAGTACCAGGCTCCTGGCCATAGTCCATTAGTACTGTACTTAATTGCTCATGTTACAGCTGATCACCAATATAAAAAGCATTAATGTTCCCCATCGCGAGACTGTTGCTATGTAGACGTCTCAAACTCAGCAAAGCTCATGAAGTGTGGTTATTCTAGACATTCCTTGCCCAGGATTTATAGATAAAGTTCCTATCGGTTATAATGCAAAGAAAAATGCCCAGCTCCTCCTGGTCAGGACCCTACTAAGTAGAACATTTTCCTCCTGATCTGACTCTCTCTGTTGAAGATGTGCTGAGTCACCGTTATCAGGACAGGAGCAAAAAAGGGAAATGGTTCTTTTTATGGCATTCTCTTAGCTTAGTTTTCTGGAATAGTAATTCACTTTAAAGACTTTGCTTTCACATGCAAATTTGTTTTCTTTTTTAGAAAAATGTTGTTGTTTTTTTTTTTTTAAGCACATACAAGAGGGAAAAAAAAATCTTCACATAGAATACCACATCACTGGTTTGAATTTTCTTGAATACATTGCATGGTCTGTGTCTGAGGAGCACGTGAAGTTGTTATTAGGGTTGGAAAAAGGAGCATTGAGGCAAAAGGACTTTATGATGTGCTTTTCTGAGTATTTAGAAAATCAAAATCAGGGGTGCCTGGGTGGCTCAGTCGGTTGGGCGTCCGACTACAGCTCAGGTCATGATCTCATGGTTCATGAGTTCGAGCCCCACGTCAAGCTGTGTGCAGACAGCTCAGACCCTGGAGCCTGCTTCAGATTCTGTCTCCTTCTCTCTCTGCCCCTCCCCTGCTAATGCTCTGTCTCTCTCTGTCTCTCAAAAAGGAATAAACATTTAAAAATGTT